CAGCCCTGATAACTTGATTGGATCAGTATTTCATCCAGTCAATGACTGTGGGTCATCCACAAACAAGTTTGTTGAGATAAGTGCCGTCAAAACAGACCTTCTTGTAACCAATTCTCTCCTCATTGGAGGACAGCAGAAAAAGGTGCAAAAAGTGATGTTTTTTGAGAAGAGGTGGATGGAGAACAACTTCATCGAGCCTCTTAAAGCAGTGCAGAGGAGACTCAACCGTCCAGCTCAACGTCGTATTGAGCCTCCCCCACGTCGTTACAGTCCTCCTGCTCGCCGTCGGGAAAGCAGTTCCTGCACAATACTCTAAAGAATGAACCATTGAACAATTAGTAATCCTACATTACCTTAGATTGGTATGTAGAAGGAGTGTAACTAGCTATATTGCATTAGTTAGTATTATTATAGCATTTAGTTCACTAGTTGTTTACAAAAACAATAAACTACCGGTAGTTTACATAATTTTGGCTTGATATTGTAATAACTATCATGTGCCAATTGTTATTGCTATAAAGCCCTATAAATTACTGGAGATTATTTCATTTTGCCACTATTAATTCATTTTAGATCCAATGGTATCAAATTATACAGCATGTACAATAGCAGAGACGTGTTTACAAAATTCTGACTTAATGCATGGTAGATATTGATAGTGAAATGTTTTGGGCCACACAAATTATTTACAAGCACGGTTATTTGTGTGATGGATTGTGGCCCAAATTGTTTTAGTACAATGTCCATCAATCACATGACTCTAGCAGGACTGATCGGTGATGGCAATTTACAGAATGGCTTCATTGTTGGAGAGGACAATACTGACGTGTGTAGTAACTATGTGTGGTTGTTTACACGAACATAAAAGAATGAAAGATAGTAAATACTTAAGTAGAGTAACGTGTTAATTGGCTTGATATCATAATATGAAGCTGTGTTGCTCTACAACCCTGTGTTTAATGATGATTGATATTGCTATTATCTAACAAATTTTAGCCTAAGTGCCAAAATTGTACTATACACAATAACAGGTCATAGACATGTGTGGAAGCAAGTTTTCCAAACATACCGGTATAGATTAGTATTCTCACTGACATTGAGGAATAAACTGAAAATGATATTTTTGAACAGTACAAATAATTTACATTACATCATTTCATCCAGTCATTAGTAATAAGCTGTAAACACATTTTGGTGTGTCCCTACTGAGTGGACTGTTTATTCTAGGCATACTATGTAAGGATGTCTGTGTAGTAATAAAGTGAAGCATTTCTTGGGTTCTTCACACTAATGAGTAATAATAAAAACACATTCCTAATCCTTATCACACTAGACGGGAGCCTAGCCAGTTGAGACTACTCATCAAATTTACTCTATTTTCTGTCCTACTACTGACCACAAGACTGATTTTCTAAGTATGTGTATCTGATTGTACATGAATGAATTGTAGATAACTACTGAATGTGCAATATCTTCCTTTAAGTCTATTACATTTATTAATTTCTTTATCATTCCATTGCAGTTATGGCTGCAGTATTGGGAAGGACTCTGGTACAGATAAAAAATGTAGGCAGATCAGTCAGCGTACCCAATGATCCAATAGCCAGGCTCATGTACTACTTTGATTGTGTCTGCACTTGCGTTGAACCCGATAGTGACTACACTATACGTCGCCTTAGAGATTATCGAAATTATCATCGATTGACCAGCGAAGAAGAGGCCCAACTCATAGTCCTCTGTCTTGCTCTCAGTCCTGATAACTTGATTGGATCAGTATTTCATCCAGTGAATGACTGTGGATCATCTACAAACAAGTTTGTTGAGATAAGTGCCGTCAAAACAGACCTTCTTGTGACCAAATCTCTCCTCATTGGAGGACAGCGGAGAAGGGTGCAAAAAGTCATGTTTTTCCAGAAGAGTTGGATGGACAGAAACTTCATCGAGCCTCTTAAAGCAGTGCAGAGGAGACTCAATCGTCCACCTCAACGTCGTATTGAGCCTCCCCCATGTCGTTCTCCTGCTCGTCGCAGAGAAAGAAGTTGCTGCATTATACTCTGAAGAATGAGCCATTGAACTATTAATAATGCTACATTACCTTTATG